AGCTCAGCCGAGAGCCCTTCCCGGCGCGGGGACTCCTCAGCGCGGCCGGCGGGTCAGTTCTGAGAGGGCCGCGGCGGCCCTGTCTCTGAGGGGGCCGGTCCCGCCCCTGCTGCTCCGCCTGCAGTCGGTGTGCACGGAACGGCCGCCGGACAAGGCCCGGGGAGGGAAGTTGAAGACTGTGTCTTCATAACAGCAGATGTGTATTTGTTTGGTTTTTTTTTCACAACAGCGATCTTTTCTCCGAGTGTAACCTCTCCTGTGAGGAACAGCAGGGCAGAATGTGGTTGTGCCTCGCCTAGCAGATGGGGAAACGAAAGGCTTCAATTAAAACATGAAATAGATCTGTGAATAATTGAATGCGTAGGGATATTAAAACTCAGATTGCTTTTAATGTGTATTTTTACAATGTGTTTTATAGGTCAATTTCCTTAAATACTGCCAAAGGAAAGAGGATGGAACCAGAAAATACTGCTAAGGAAACAGTCCTCATTACTGGAGGAGGTGGTTATTTTGGCTTCCGGTTAGTGCATTAAATACTTACTACATACAAGAATAAATTGCTGCTGGTGAGGCAACAAAACCTGTCTGTAAAAGGGAAAACTGTGGGCCCGAGATGCCTGGTCCAGTTCACCTCATCGGATTCATCTTGACCTCAGTTTTAAACAAACATACTATTCTGTTTCCACATGTTTTAAGTAAATATGTTATTCTGTTTCCAAATGTCAAGCATCAACTGACTTGCAGATGTTTACCTGTCTGGTCACCTTTGTAATGGGGATTTAAATCATTATCTTTCAGCCTGACGAGCAAGCTGATACTTACATACAGATATTTCTTTTGACAATAGGCCATGGCTTGCAAATAGTTACACACGTGCTTAGCTATATAGATTAAATACTCCAGCTGCTCTCTACTCTCAAAAATGTATTTATTTTTATGGGCAGTAGTGTTTTAGGATTTGAGTTGTTAATAGGGTGCCTATTTCCGTGAATCCAATTCCCCTTACTCTAGATGGCTGTGCTGGCCCTATAAAGAAAAAAAATCCTATTTTGAGCCCTACACTATCCCCTAAAGTACCTTCAGAGTTATAACTGCTTACATAGGTGAGAGATTGCAGTCATGACTAAAAAGTAAATTTCAAGCAGGGGAAAAAATAAATCTCAGAAGATGCCTCTCTGACTTCTGTTTGGCTTTTTCCTCCACTGTCTTGCCCTTTACGCACTATAGAAATATAACAGTTGTAGGAAAGGGGGAGAGGAATACCGGATTTATACTTTGTGTCAATACCTGTGTTTATACCTGTGGCTTGGAGTGAAATGTAAACATGTTGTAAAGTATTTGTACCAGCTTAGAAGCATCTCGCTCATTCCTCTTCTCCATAAATTTCAAACACAATGGCAAAGACAAACCTATTGTTATGACAGAATTGGGATGGCACAAAAGTGATAAGATTAAAAAAATATATAAAAAATTATTGGTTTTAAATATTTGGCAACAGGTTTCCATCTGAGAGGTTTGCTGTTGTTGATCTGTTGAGGACAGAAGCAGAGTAATAGCTGGGATCTTCCAAAAGACTGCTGAAAGCACTTCAGTTATATCTGTTCTGAATTTTCCTTTACAGCAGTTCCTCTTTTTTTTTTTTTTTTTTTTTTTTTTTTTTTTTCCTCCAAAGTATTGATGGAGCATGAGAAATTAGTTCAGTACCTAAAGTATTGCAGTTGAATCTTCCACGTAGTAGATGGCTGAATAATTAAGACTCCCATCAGAAAAGAAAGGGGGGGAAAAAAAAAATCAGTATTAAAATAGTTAATAGTCTTCTACCTCCAGGTGCAATGTTTCATGCATCATTATGCTATGTGTACTAACATACGGTTTTTATCATGGTTTAGTTTAGGTTGTGCCATGTACCAAAAGGGAGTTGATGTGATTCTCTTTGATGTCATGAAGCCACTTCAAACCGTGCCAGAAGGAATAAAGTTCAGGCAAGGGGATGTCTGTTGCCTGTCTGAAGTGGAAGAGGCTCTTAAAGACATAATCTGCGTATTCCATATCGCTTCTTATGGAATGTCTGGCAGGGAGCAGCTGAACCGAAAACTTATAGAAGATGTCAATGTGAAAGGAACAGAAAATGTCATCCAAGCCTGCAAGAGCACAGGAGTGTCAAGTCTGGTTTATACAAGTACATATAACGTGATATTTGGAGGCCAGATTATAGAAAATGGGGACGAATCTCTGCCTTATCTACCTCTTCACCTTCATCCAGATCACTACTCCAGGACCAAATCTTTAGCTGAAATGAAGGTGCTGGAGGCAAATGGTGCTGAGCTTGGAAATGGGAAAGGTGTTTTAAGGACTTGTGCTCTCCGACCAGCAGGCATCTATGGGCCTGGAGAACAAAGACATCTTCCAAGAATAGTTAGTTACATTGAAAGGGGACTGTTTAAGTTTGTATATGGAGATCCTCTTAGTTTAGTAGAATTTGTACACGTAGACAATCTAGTTCAGGCTCATATCCTTGCTTCTGAGGCCCTCAAAGCCAACAACAAGCACATAGCTGCAGGCCAAGCCTATTTTATTTCAGATGGCAGGCCTGTAAATAACTTTGAATTTTTCCGACCATTAGTGGAAGGTTTGGGTTACAAGTTCCCAACCTGTCGTCTTCCTCTCTCCCTTGTCTATTTTTTTGCATTCCTTACTGAAATAGTTCATTTTGTTGTAGGTCATGTTTATAATTTTCAGCCTCTCCTCACTCGCACAGAGGTTTACAAAACTGGTGTCACGCACTATTTTAGCATGGAGAAGGCCAGAAAGGAGCTGGGGTATGAGCCTCAGCAATATAGCCTGAATGAGGTGGTTGAGTGGTTTAAATCTCAGGGATGCGGGGCAAAGCCGAGAAAGTACACCATTATGCATCTTGTGAGGGATGGAGCATTGCTCTTGCTGCTGATTGCTGTGATGGTCTCATGGTTTCCATCTGCAGTTACATTGTCACTCTGAAAGATGAAACGCTGAGTACGGAGGACAGAATTTAGTTATGTTCTCTGAGCACTCTTGCTTTTGACAGGTAACAAAAAAACCCAAAAACAAACAAGAAAATACACATTTGTGTAAATATCTTCAACAGTTTTATCCCCAAGGAACAGAAATGCTGAGTAAAAAGGTGTAACTTTTATGCATATTTCCTCTTCAGAGTAAAATTGATCAAATCACTAACAAGATGAAGTGTAATATTACTGCAAAGAGCATTTTATTTTGGGGTGCAACAGCACACTACAGTGAATGGAACAAGTGTCCTTAGACTGACCCTTCTCCCTGATGAGACTATACTCTTCATCCCTGCCCTTTGTTCCTAAAGTCTGTGCTACATGATCCAGAGGAGAAGCAGCTGATTCTTTGATCACATTCCAAACCCAAATTCTGCTTTCCAGCTTGGATGTATATATGTCTAGCAGTTTATCAGTTAATCTCGGTTAGGCAATAAATAAATGCCTTTTTTTTTTTTTTTAAATGAATACATTCTGGTATGTTTTTTTGAGTTAACTGGGATATCTAATGACATTTCTGAAAAATGCACAATGGTTAATCTAAGTTATAGCAAAGTGCTTGAAGCAGCACAGATTTGTAGATTTTTCTAACAGTAAAATACACCTGTTTAAAATGAATGAGCTAGCTAAAGTGCATTCATGAATAAGACCTATGCTTTTCCCAGCGTTATTGAATGGTTAAACAAATAATCCACCAAAGACATTTGGTAAGTGATTACATTCACGTTTCATGGTTTATAAAACATATTTAGCCTTTTATAATATTTCTTTAACAGCCAACACCATCTGAATAAAACTTCACCTTTGTAGTAGAATGATAAACACTTGACACAATGAAGCTCATAATTTTGTGGAGTTTTAAGAACAGAAAATAAGACCTTGTTAAGTACAGGTCACTACTGTCTCTCGCAACTCCTTCATCTCTGTCAGTTTAATATAGGAGGAGATACTGAGAAACTTCACATCAAAATGTGAAGTCACAAAGTTGTTTACCCTTAACCCATCAGCAGTACAGTTTCAGTACTTCTTGATAAAAGGACAGTCCTTCAAGAAGTTCACACTCTTTAAACTTTCGTCTTTTCATTTTAACAGCTGAAGCTACACTGATCTTAAATTAATTTTGTAAGTTCCAGTTAGTTCAGTTCTGTTAAACTCTACTGCAATAGAAATGGGGATTTGAAGAGGAAAGGACAGACAGTAGTTCTACTGTGCTGTTAAAGGATTTTCAGAAGACAAAAAAATGCCCAAATAGAGAAACCAAGCTAAAAGTCCACTGCGAACTGTGTTTAGAAGATGGAGATTTTTGTAGTTTAGGCTGACTGAAGATAGCATTATTTTTTGAATGTTGAGTTCTTTTCCTGAAAAGTTTACCTTTAAAAAAAAAAAAATAAAATCACTAGGGATAACTAGATGTTTTGTTTTGCTTGAAATGTGACTGCTCCTCCTTCATTCCCCTACCAGTGTGTACACCATGAAAGAAACTGTGTTTAATACTTCGCTCAAAGGACAGCTCAAGAGAGAACTCAATTCCGCCACCACCACCACCCCCCGTAGCAAATCAATCGAGGGGGCCTGGGGCAGCCATGCTTGTGTAGCAGGAGTATTGCACTCCTTTATAAAGAGCTTATGTGCCTCCAACAGAGTGCTGACAGCAGAAGGGCCACTTTCCAGAAGTCATTAATGTAGAACACCATAGTCTGCAGAAAGAAGAAACTTTATTTTTAATAAAACAGAAAAAAAAAAAAAAAAAAAGACATTCGTGACCTCACAAAAGCACTGGACAGCTGTTCTCTTTCCAACAGGCCCTGTTTCTCAAGTGAAAACCACTTGGTTATTTACCCCATTAAGTTCTCTGGTTTTGACACAATGTTACCAGAAATAGATTAAGAAATTTTAATGCCAGCAGAAGCAACAGACAAAACCAAAATGTACATGAAATTGCACAAGCCTGTTGCACAGAACCATAGCGTTGGTATTTCATGCTAAGTCTCATAGAAAGATCTTTTTAAGATATGGAACACGACTCCTGTGCCCCAGAGGAATTTCTGCTGCTATTTGTGATCTTTTTATTAGCAAAATTCAGCTACTGCCATCATAATTATATCAGTGGTGGAGTTAGTGGAAGAAACTATGAAAGGGTCCTAAACTCAGGAAGTCCAAACCCAGGCTGGTAACGCTGGCTGAGGTTACAGCCCTGAAGAGCTTTTTAGGTACAACAGAAGAGGAAGCTCCCGAGGAGACAAAAGACCTCATGAATACCAGAACTCCTGCAGAAGCTGAGCTCAACACATGAACCTTTTCATTTGCCTGGAGTCAAGAACAGAACTTGTCACTGATAACTGAATAGGAGGCATTATTTTGCCCTAACGGCCCATGACTTCTGCTTGAGCACAGGGTGCTAAATCAGGTTCTTGTCAGGAGAAAATGCAGCAGCTTGGCAACAGCCACCCCAGACCACATCCACAGTGTGTCGGCGTATTCATTAATTCCCTGTCATTCGGCTCCATCTAGTAAAAAAAGCCCTGACTGCAGAAGAGGTGAAGGATACGTAACCTCTTTCCAAAATGAAAACAGGAAGTCTGTGGCTTAGGGAGATGCTTTAAAATTACTTGAAAATTACGTATGTATAAAGCCAGTCACAGCTGCTCCATTTTAAGTATTTTACAATGAGAATCCTCTCTCCTTCTTCCTGTTTTTTTACTGTTTGTTACTACTCTTGCATGAATAGCTGAGTAAATTAAATTAATTAATTCAAGTGTTGTGTCTGTTTCCAAATTTTAATCTATTACCTGTTTTCCTGAAAATGAATTACCAGAAATGCACCTAAAAACTGAAAATGCAGAGCTGAAAATATAGCACTGCTTCAATTTTTACTAGTCCTCAAAATCATTTAACAATTGACAGGTGCCTCACTAACGAATCACAGCATGGTCAGGGTTGGAAGGGACCTCTGGAGATCATCCTGTCCAACCCCCCTGCCCAAGCGGGGTCACCTCCAGCAGTTGCACAGGACGGCATCCAGGCGGGTTTGGAATGTCTCCAGAGTGGGAGACTCCACCACCTCTCTGGGCAGCCTGTGCCAGTGGTCTGCCACCCTCAAAGTAAAGAAGTTCCTCCTCATGTTAAGATGGAACTTCCTATATTCAAGTTTGTGCCCGTTACCTCTTGTCCTGTCAATGGGCACCACTGAACAATGCTGATGTTTTAAGTGAATTGTTTAAGAATCTCTGATCAGCTGCTTAACCTTGCATATGTGGCACGTCAAGGTAAAACTCTGCCAGACATACACGAACTTATACTTCTAATACATAAATATATTTATTTTAGAAGTTTAAATATCGATCATCCTTAAAGTAGACCAGATTTTTATACTGTATTCTCCTAAGTGACCCAACCAGAAGTCTTTCATTACTTATTACTAATTTCCACACATTTTCAAGAATATAGCGGCATATTTAATTTGTGATGTGATCTTCACAGAAAAGTGTCCCAAACACTAATAATTTACACATATTGTAAAAGATCTGGGGATTAAATTGCAATTCAGGAGTACATAGGTGTTAAGGGAACTACTTCTGCTTTATTTTAGTCAATCTCATGATTGTTTGATGTTACTCCATCGAAACTCCCTGTTTTGATGGAGTAACACCTAAGAACATAGATTAGCAATGAAGGAAACTGCACTTTAAATTCCTTTAGAACTAATAGCGGGGCATGTTTATAAATACTGTTATGGATCAGAAGATAAATTTGGCTCCCAACTGATTGTGAAGGTTAACTTTCATTATATGTAACTTCAATTTCTAATGATATAAATGGAATTTCAGCCTGGAACAAAGTCAGCTAGTTGGACTGCACTTGGAAATGCTGACACACGACCAGAGCAGAATTCAACAACTGTACTTCAGCTTCCCCGCCACATTCAGAGTTGTACAACTAGTTTGGAGAATTCAAAGCTAATCTTTGGTACAAAGCTAATGCCATCTCACCATCTAGAAGGTTAATTTAAGAATTGCAAAACTAGAAAAATGTTCACAACAGAGAAACTAATAGATGCACTGGGGTGGAAAAAAAAGTGAGAACACCGGCAACAAAACACCTGAATGAAGCAATTTTTTGGGCTTCAGAACTTGTGCGTACCAATATTCACAAATTAAAAGGTGATAAAGACCATGTGGCTCACCTAATGACCTGTAGAAGACCTAGGCTGCAGACACCTCAATTTTGATTCCTGCTCAATACGTATATAATTTTTATCAAAAGACTGAGAAAAATTTTGTTCCCAAGACTCCCAACAATGAAAAATCCCAACATAAAGACACCCAGCAGCACTCCTGCCCATGCAATTAAGGGCACCTTACGGGCAGAAATAATTTTACGGTGAACATCAAGATTACTGTGCTTCCAAATTACTACAAACTCATCTTTGACTTGTTCAGACTCTCTTGTTTGAGTTGACCCAAGTCTGATGCTCACTGGGCCTGAAGGTTATATCTACCGATCACAGAAAAAGGTCGGTTAGGAGTTGCAAGTTAAACATGATCTTTGACCTTTTCCTTCTGCCCTGTTTGTTTGCAGCCAGATGAAGTGCAATAACCACGTCTGTGGAAACAATCAATAAGTCACTTCATCTCAAAAACACAGAAATGCCCTTGCTCCAACCTCTAGCAGAACACACCATAACACACCAGCAGACCACTTTTCAGTAAGAACTCACTCATACAGCTTCAAAGGACCATCAAAACTCATGAAATTCAATGAGCAATGCTTAAACAAAGAAGCATCTGGCATCATTCACATCACTGCTGAGATATCAAAAATTATTTATTAAAAATAAGTTATTTTAAGGATTTAAAACAGTTTCTATAAGAATACAACAATTAAAAGATACTGTTAATTTCAAAAAAATTGTAAATGTTTTTCCTCCTAGATTACAAACTTAGCACGCGCATCCAAACCTACTTTCATATTAAAACAGTTGCAACTGTGAAAAAGTTGCTACAGAGCCTGCCCTGACAAAGAAC